TGGTTGGTGGGTTGGTGGGTTGGTGGGTTGGTGGGTTGGTGGGTTGGTGGGTTGGTGGGTTGGTGGGTTGGTGGGTTGGTGGGTTGGTGGGTTGGTGGGTTGGTGGGTTGGTGGGTTGGTGGGTTGGTGGGTTGGTGGGTTGGTGGGTTGGTGGGTTGGTGGGTTGGTGGGTGGTGGGTGGCGGCTGGTGGGTGGTGGGTGGTGGGTGGTGTCCTGTATTGGGAGGGGGAGTCGTACGAGCACGGACGAGGGCGGGTAGAGGGAGAGGGGGCAGCCGAGCAGGCCGTCCATTTCCCGCATGGACTGGTGCAGGCGGATGTGCGTCGACTTCAGGAGGGCCTGCAAGGGCGCAATCTCCCGGCCTCGCTCCATGCCTGCCTCCCCCCGGAGAGACGACACGCGACACGCGACACGCGACACACGCGCGAGACAGAGACGCGCGGTTGGTTGGTAATCGGTGAGCAGACGGGGAGGAGGCGGTCGATTAGTGCGCGCAGCGAACCCGTTTCGACGATGGCGCGCAGCTTGAGGGCGAGTGCGGCCTCGGTCCCATCGAGGTTCATCCAGTACTCGGCGTTGTCGTGTTCTCCCTCGGGGATGTCGGCCAGGAAGAGCTCCGTGAAGCCTCCCTCGGCCATCCTGCAGCACCCCCACCAGCCCACCGCGCGAAGAGGCGCGCCACGATCACGCGTCAGCTGCGAACGCACAGCCGGCGCTCAGCAGCAGCAGCAGCAGCAGCTGTGTGGCGGCGGCGGTAAGGTACTGGCTCAGCTTGTCGACGAGCTTTTCGTCGATAGCCCCCTCCTGCACCAGGGCCGCCAGCTCGTCGTAGAGGAAGGCCATGCACGCCTGTTCGATGGACCACCCGGAGGGGGGGGGGTAATCGTTTGAACCGGTTAGTCGGGTGGGCTGGTCGGAGAGACAAGGGGAGCAGAGAGGCGGGAGAGGAGCACGCGCGGACCGAAGAGCTCTGGCACGAGTGGAGGAGATTGTCCAGCAGCGCATGCGAGTCCACCCCATCTTCCTGCGGCACGCGCAGCGCCGCCAGCGAGCCCAGGATGGCCAGCCGCTAGGCCCATATTGCACGCGGAGGAAACGGAAGCGGTTGGTGGACACGTTGTTGATGGTGACGACGACGACGATGATGACGATGACGATGTGTGAATGTGCGTCGCGTGCGTGCGAGCAGAAAAATGCGAAGCGGGGGGGGGCACCTTGTGACGTTCGGAGGGGGCGGCAAGGTACTTGCGGATGAGGATGTGGAGGTCGTCGGACAGCCGGGAGACCGCTCCTTTGTTTGCCGCGGCAGCCACGCGCGCAAAGACCACCAGGAGCCGGCGAGCGTGACTCTCCGCCAGCCCGTCCAGGTACTCCAGCACGCCCTGCACCCACCCACCCATCCACCCACCGCACGTGGGGTGCTCGCGTCAGAACCGATGATCTCGCCCACGCCACACATGCACACGTCCGTGCCGTGTGGGGGATCATTGAGGGAGGGAGGGAGGGGAGGGAGGGGAGGGAGGGGAGGGAGTTGCCTGGATGAAGCTGGCGTGAACGGCGAGGTGTGCGCAGCCAGAGGCCTGGTGGGCGAGGCGCTCAAAGACGTCGAGGGTGCCATCGACCTCGTGCGGGGATCCCGAGCCGATGTGCGCGACGAGAGCGCCCAGCACCTCCTGGCGGTGGTAGGTGTCGGGGAAGTGGCGGAAGGCCAGCACGTAGAGGAGGCCCCCGTGGCGACGGATTGCCGGCTCGGAGGCTCGCAGCAGGTAGTCCGCCAGCCCGAGCAGGGACGGGAAACACCCGCGGAGCGTGTGCCCGTGCCCGGCCACGGCGTGCGTGACGAGCTCCGGCGTAAAGTGGCCCGCCAACACCTGAGCCCGCCCACCAGCCAGCCACCACCACCGATTAGCAGCGCCCCCCTCTTCCCGAGCGGTGGGGGGGAGGGGTTGCTTGAGGCGTTGGTTGAATGGGGGGGGGCGTTGCCTTTTTGCGGAAGAGGGATTCGACGCTGCGCTTGTGTGCGGCCATGCCGTGGAGGACCAACAGGATCCAGATGTCCAGCACCTTCTGCTCCGCCGCCGAGGCCGCTGCCTGGCTCCCCCCCCCCAATCACGGCTATGAGCAAACAAACGGCGGTGGCTGGTGGTGGCTGGTGGGGAGGATCGGTGTTGTGCTGGGTGCGCACCTGGATCTCCTTGAGGAAGGCCTTGGTGACATCCTTCTGGAACCGCACCCCCGACCTGAGCGAATCTGCAACGGACGAGACGGAAGTGGTGATAGAGGAGAGGGGGGGGGTGCGTCGGTTAGACGCGTGCCTCCGCCCTCTTGACCCAGCCCGGCATAGCCCAGAGGAGGAGAGACAGTCGATGGGGCCTGAGATGGGTGGGGTGGGGGGGGTACCCAGGGTCATGGCTTCGCCCGTGTTTGCCGCTGAGGGTCCGCCAAAGTCCAGGTGACGGCGCAGCTTGCGAACCACCTGCGTGCGTGCGTGCGTGCGTGCGTGCGTGCGTGCGTGCGTGCGTGGAGGTTGATGGGAGGAGCGAAGGTGAGGACGCGACGAGGAGGAGGTACTGATTGGGGGGGAGGGGTCGCAAGGGGGTGCACCTTGTCGACGTTGCTCTTGGTGATGGATCGCAGGAGGAAGCGGACCACAACGGGCAGGTCCTCCACCTCAACGGAGCGGAGGGAGCGCAACACGGTGGTCTGCACGTCCTCGAGGAGCTCGGCGGGCAGGTTCATGTTGGCCAGCGTGTCCAGTATGGGCACTGTGAGGGCTCTCTCCTCCTCCATTAGACCTCGCAGCTCGCGCACCATGGCCTGCGTGGAGCCGCGTTAGCACCACCAGCCACCACCAGCCACCAAGGACCTCTCGCGTGCTGCCTCGCCTCTCGGCGATTCTGGTTGCTTGGTCGAGCCCGGGTGCGTGCGTGCGTGCGTGCGTGCGTGCGTGCGTGCGTGCGTGCGTGCTCAAAAAATTGCGAGGAGGGCGCGCACCTCGTAGGCGTAGTCGTCAATGATCTCGGGGAGGGCGGTGATGATCTCCCGACGCAGGTAGAGGGGGCAGGCCTGCAAGGCCTCGCAAAGCTTCTCCGTGAGCCGCTGGCCCGCCACCACGTTGTCCAGCCAGCGGAGCTGCGCCAGCAGCTGCCGCGGCAGACTGTCGCCATAGTTCCCGCCACTGCCACGCCACGCCACGCCGGGGGAGAGGTCCGGGGTGAGCACCCATCACAGAAATAGAAATAGAAATATCCGGTGGGTGGGTGGGTGGGTGGGTGGTTCGCCACCGCAGCCTGGGAGGCCCGGGGAGGCGCGCAGGAAGCAGAGGAGTACGGGGATACCTACCCATCGTCCACAAACTGGGGAAGCTTCTCCAGGAGACGGTCGATGAGGAAGGGCTGCACGGCCTCCACGCCCAGCAGGAGTTTGACGAGGTTGTCGTGCTGCCCCGCACCCGCCCTACCCACACCCCCGCGCGCGCGCGTGGGTCAGCGGACAAGAAGAGCAGCAGCAGCATGTGGCATAGGAGGGAGTTGCCCGCCCACCGATTGGTCTTGGCCACGACCGGGCGCAAGAAGTTCTTGAGCTGTGCGTCGTCGTCCACGAGGCCTTCCAATGCCGCCTCAAACCGCCGCAACTGGGCGGCATCGCTGCCCAGTGCCCTTTGCACCTTCCTCTTGAACACCACGCCATCGTCTATATCCCCCCCCAAAAAAAACCAACGGTCAGTCAGCGCAGGAACACCACCGACCTCGGGTGCGCAGATTGTCGCACCAATGAGCACGGTCTCGCCCTTTATGGTCGCTCCTGCCGCGGCCAGCACTTGCGTGAATGCATCTTCGTGCTGCTCCCCCTCCGCCGCATCTCCCACCCGAGGCTTCTTCTTGGGCGGATTTGCAGCCTGCCGTGACGCGTCCCCCAACCGCTTGGTCGCCTTGCCTCCGTCCATGTACACGCAAACAAAAGGCTGCACCGAGTGCTCGAAGGACGGATGTTTGCGTGTGCGTCGCACGCAACAAGCCCTTTCTTTCTTCCCAGATGAAAACCTTCCTCGAAATAATTATATAGATATATATTGTTTCTTCCTTATGAAAACCCGTTGATGAGTGGGGGCCGAAGAAATCGACATAAATAAATGTATGCGACGATCGATTCCCTCGAGCTTATCTCGTGTGGCTGGCTCGCGGACGAACACGGGGGGGCCTTTTTGACTTTTGATTTTTGTGTTATTTTGTGTGTTTTCTTTTTCTGCTTTATTTCCGGGTGTCGCCTGTGGGGATAAATCGGGGCACAGTCCGGGCGTTCTTTTCTCTTTCTTTCTCGCTCGCGTTGGTGCATCGCTTTCCTGGTCGATTTCGTACTTTTCGAAGTCATCCACACCCTCGCCTCTCCTCTTCTAGCCCTACTCCAAACTTGCCAACATGCCCCCCAAGCTTGACCCCAACGCTATTGTTGAGCGTAAGTTCTCCCAATTCGCCCCCCCCCCCGCCAACTTGCCGATGGTGGCTAATCTTTTTTTTTTCTGGAACATTAGTCATCGTCCGCGTGACCGGTGGTGAGGCCGGAGGTGTTGCCTCGCTCGCCCCGAAGGTCGGTCCTCTCGGTCTGTCCCCCAAGAAGATCGGTGACGACATTGCCAAGTCGACCCAGGAATGGAAGGGCATGAAGATCACCGTCAAGCTCATCATCCAGAACAGACAGGCTAAGGTCGAGGTTGTTCCCAGCGCTGCCTCGCTGCTGATCAAGGCCCTCAAGGAGCCCCCTGCCCCTACCAACCAGAAGAAGGAGAAGGGCGCCCCCGGACGTACGCATTCCACCCGTTCAGCGTTGACTCAGACACTTTGTTAATCTCCATTTGCACTCACAGCCAAGCACGATGGCAACCTTACCTTCGATGACGTCATCGAGGTGGCCAAGACGATGCGCGCCAGGAGCATGGCCAGGACTTTCGCCGGCACCGTCAAGGAGATGCTCGGTACCTGTGTGTCCCTCGGCTGCACCATCGATGGCAGGGGTGCCCGCGATATGCAGAAGGCTGTTGATGACGGTGAGTTCGATGACCGTCTTGCCCAGTTCGACTAAGTCAAGAGTATCTGCTACGATCGGGGGGTGTGGTCACCACCGACGTTGAAAATAAATCTAAAAACAAACAGACGCTTCCCTGTCCTAGCAGCCAGACCAGTGCCCACCACCACTGGGCAGTCTCCCCGTTGCGAGTTGCACTACGGTGATGTCCATCCCGCAGCTGACTGCCTCTACCCGGCCTCGTAGCTCGAGACGTCGCGGCGCGTTCTCGTTGGCGCCCTCGGCAAAGCCCAGCGCCCCGTGCTGCGCCCGAAGCACACAACCTCACCGGCGATGAGCACAAAAAAAAACATAGGGGAGGATGGGAGAGAGGGTACCTGACCGAATCCCCACAGCCAAAGGCCGCCGTCCTCCGTGATGGCAGCCGTGTGGTCGGCCCCCGCAGCAAGGCCAACGACACGGAGACCGCCAAAGGACTCCAAGCGGTGCGGTGCTTGCTGATCGCCTCCATCATCGCCCAGGCCCAGCTTGCCATCTGCGTGGGAGCCCCACACCAGCACTGCGCCGGGTGGTTGGGTGGTGCAAAGGACACGCGGGTGAGCACATGCACCAGCCACGCGATGCGGGAATGAACCAACCTGCTCCCGCACGCGTGAGGGCGAGAGAGTGGGTGGCGCCGGCCGCGACGTCCACAACGTCCAACCCCGCCAACGCTTGCACGGGCTGCACCGTAGGCACGAATTCCCTGCGAGGCATGCCGCCATACATCACCATGCGCCAACCGTGCACCGCGAGTGAGTGTCTTGCATCGACGGGCACGAGAAGACCATCCGCCACCAGCCGCCACGAGGCCGTACTTGTGCCCAAGGCCACACTGGCCGTGTCGATTCCATCCCCACGCCAGCACTTGATCGCCGGCCAGAACTAGCGTGTGGCCCCACCCGGACACCACCTGTGCAGAGGGGTCCCGAAGGGA